ATATATTATTTTTGAAAGAATATAATGACATTTAAATCTTAAAAGAATAAATTAATGATAATTGGATCTTAAAAAAAATTTGGAAAAATATTGAGACATTTGCAAATAGGATTCCCAATTGTAAATTAAAAGTTGCATTTCAAACTTAAATGCCCTGTCTGCAGTTAAAATTCATCAGTTTATAATTGTGCAAATCAAATATTTGTAACTTTTTAAATTTTTCTTTTCAAAAATCTACAATATACATTTACATACGATATCATCGAGTCCCTCACTACAGTTATTAAAACTAAAATAACTATTGTAAATTAAAGTCCACTCAGTCAAAGCGGGAAATAAAATAAAGAAGAAAAAATATCAAGAAAATTAACTAGCTTTAATTAAAAATCATATAGCTCAATTAGTTAGTCAACCAGCACAAGATTACAAAACATTGACAATATTAATTATTATAAACAATATTCAAGCACACGAGTACAAGGTCTCACCAGTTCGCTGTGGTGGCTTCCACTCGTTATGATTCGTGTTATTAGCACTAAATTCCTTGCTGTAAATATTCAGATATAAAAGCAAGAGTCAAGAAGTCAGTGATTAGGCATCCCAAGATGAAAACAAATAAGGCAAGAAAAACATTAATTTTGAGTATTGTGCAAGCTAAAAATTCTATAAATCAGACATGGGGACCAATATATACAAGCACTAACTCTAAAAGGAAAAAATAAAGGGAAAAAAATTAGACCAAACTTGCCACTTGTCGTCTGATCTGGTTTAAGCACTAAATTGGTCATGGAGTAAATCGGTAGAAACTAGGGTAAATCGGCGATCAATCGGGTTGAATGATTATGTTAGATGTGTTCCATTGTTCCTAATTTAACTTCTAATATTTCAATTACTATAGATTTGAGTGAACCTTAATAATAATTTTGGTATCAATGATTATTAATTTTAGTTATTGAGGAATGGTAAGGATGAACATTCTCAATATTGTTATACTTTATTATTATTACAATCAAACTATTATTGCACTTCCTTGTATTTTGTTATTAGTGATTATTAATATTATTGTATTTTGTTATTTTTAATTAAATTATATTATTTTAATATGATTGGTTTGATCTCGTATTGACCTTGGTTTGACGCACTGACCTTTCAACCTTGACCAGTTTAGTGTCCAGTCCAATCTTTTGTTCTTTGGTTAGAAGCACATCTATTAATAAATAAATAGAACCACACCACCGTGCTTGGTAGAATAAAGCAGGAAAAAGAAATTGGACAACAATATACATACATTACACCATAGAACTACAATATCACCAAGAAAGAGACTTGCAAGTTGAAACAGTTTTAGATAGAACAAAAGACTATTGACCTTAAGCAATTATAACTACACGGAACTGAAAGCAGAAGGATGGTAATTAATTGGAAAATAAAATAATGGCCGGATAATACTGGCAGCCTAAACTAAAAGAAGAAGAAATAAGGCAATAGGATGAAGATCGAGAAACTCATTAATAAACAGAAATGAATCATCAATATGAAAATATCATCCAAAATCTATTGAAATCTGTACTATTCATAAGAAATTAAATGAATGATGCATCTTACTTCAGATTCAGAACCAACAGAAAACACACACATAAATAAGCCCTCAATCTGTTCTAAAAGTCGTTCAAACACATTAATATAATGCTATAATAATACAGAAAGGAATCCTATAATAAAACTCCTCATCAATTGATATGTTTTGGTTTGGTTTTGGATTTGTTTTAGGATATGTTTTAGTTTTGGTATTTGCTAATACTCATATATTGTGGAACAGATACTAAGGCTTGGAATGCAATGGTCTTCTTTTGAGTTTAGGAGCTCCTTTAATTTGGGCTTGCTAGGCCTTTGAACATATTTCACTGCATATTTTTTACTTGTTTGAAATCTAGTTGGATTGTTGATTTGTTCGCTATTATTATGCTTCATTAATTTCCTAGTGTTTTAAGTAATTAATTATGAATTAATACTTGGTTTTGGTTTTGGTTTTGTATTAGGAAGTTCGCCTTTACTATTATACGTGCATAAATGCCAAGCTTGCTGGTATTCATAATTCCTAAATGATGATCACACCTAAAAAATTACAAGCTGGAGCATTTTAAAATTTTTTTATAAATTAATTTTTTTTGTATACATTTTTTTTTCATTTACATCCCCAATTAATTAAATTATATGCCTTTCTAATCTCCTTGTCCCACTCATCCTTTCTATAAATAAGGGTATATTTATTAAAAAAAAATATATTTCTTACATATTTATTACCTTTAACTAATTTTAACTTACTTTTTAGTTAAAATAATAATTCAATTATCTGTAACTAATAAAAAGAATATAAAAAGTAACATATATTCATGGTTCGTTTGGCGTACCTTTACAGGATTTGAAATTAACTTGTCCTGAAAAATGAAAGGTGGTCAGAGTTCAGTTCTTACCTTCGCTTTTGAGTTGCTTTGGTCTCTTGATCCTCACACAAATGAATTGGTCATACATCATAATTTTTAATTAGCACTTAGTAATAGAAATATTGTAATCAGTTATGTATTAATTTAAATAATTTTTCTTTGTTAAATTTCCAGATAATTACAAATAGTTGCAACTTGCAACTAGTTATGGTTTGTAATGATCATTATCCGACTCAAGTCTTTTCTTTGTTCCAAATTATCCGACTCAAGTTTGAAAAAAACTACATAATTAACTGTTTACAATGAGTTCTTGAAACATCTAGCCCTATCATAATTAAAAGAATTAATTTTATTAATGCTAATATTTAGTTGTTAAACGAATATTAAAATTAATTTTACGAAAGATATTTTGATTGAAAAATAAATATTTCGTTTCCTCGTTATTACATATTATTTATATAAATAATTATTACTTAACATATAATTTTACGTTAAAATATGAATACGAGTTCTTAAATTCCCAAACCACGTAGCTTAGATTCTTTCACTGTTAGATTGGTCAAAAATATTAATTTATTGATTAATGAGTAAGATCTAAGGTTGAATAATTTTGCTTTTAATTTTCACAAAAGAGATGTTTTCAAGATGCGAATAATTTCAGTGAATTGTTGATCAATATTTAGAGTCTTATTATAACCACCAAGAAAGGAAAAACGCAAAATAGATTATTGACCAATGACCATTGCTCTGTACGTACAGAAGGGTGTAATGGTGAATCAAAAAGTTTACACAAACAGGAAAGCAAAATAAGAAAAACATCAATAATAATACACACACACCATGTTTGGTGGTCCTTTAATTTATTTTAAAAAGAAGCTAATCAACCTTCAGTGATATCATTATCAAGGAAGTCGTAAGAACCAATGAGGAAATCCAATCCCCCAGCAGTAAACCAATCTGCAAATTATAAAAAGCCAATTAACTGAAGAAACAATTAATAATTTCATGAAGAGAAAAGAAATGAAGGAATCACAACCAAACATTTGCACGCATACATAATCACACGATGCAATGGCTACCTTTTAGCATTCAATAAATAAAGGATAGAGCTGGGCCAACATTTTGATACATGTCAAAAACAATATGCTTATTTTTTATATCCATAAAGCGTAAAATTATATTACGCCATGAAAATTAAAAGAACAGTAAAGGATAATGTGTGCGTTGATGTTACTAATGTATTTACCTTGAAAATTTATGTTGACGTCATCTGACGTGAAGGGCTGAAATTTTGATTGGAAATTGTGTTTGGCGTCCCATTCCAAACTGTTCCACCAATCTTCGTGTCCGCGGATAATTAGTTGTTTGGCAGAGTCGGAATGAAGTGGTAGCCTTTTCAGATTTGTACATCTTCCTATATTGATGGTTTTTAGGGAAGGAAAAGACAAAGCGGTCTTATGGATGCTTTGAAGCTTTGGCATTCCATACAGATGTAGGTTTACAAGAGAAGAGAATACACAAGAAGAATCCTCATTCTCATCTTCCTTTATCACTTCTTCCACTGATGCACAGTCACCAATGACAAGTTGTTGAAGATGTGGAGCATGCTTGAGCCATGTGACATGCATTAAGGAATGGCAACTAGAGATAAGCACACTTTGAAGCATCCTTAGACAATAAGTGTCATCATAAATACCAGAATAATCTTTCAAACCAGATAATCCAAGCAGACCCAATTGTTGGAGGTGCTTCATTTTTGAAATGCATGCCAATAATAAAGGCATCTCCATGGTGTCCAAACCACCGAGGCGAAGAGCATATATACAATTTTGCAATTTACGTGACTGAAGTAACTTGTTGAGGCCTTTTTCTGTTTCTATTCCAACATTTATTTCCTCAATTTTTGGCAAAGATTCCACCTCCTCTATGAATTTTTCCTCTGCTTCACCATTTTTTTCAAGTTCCCCGTCGTAATAAACTCTCAACACTCTTAATTGTCGAAGACTTGATATCACTCCCGATGGAATATTTACAATATTACCATCTCTCAAGGACAAATTGAATACCTTCAAATTCTTCAAATTCTTCAACTCCTTCAACTCCTTGGGATAGTCAAATCCATTTATCGTTAAAAAAAGATATTCTAACAAAACTAACTCACTAATTTCTTCAAGTTCACATATATCAGGACAACATAGTTCTAACACCTTTAATTTGGTCATGCATTTCAGGTTTTGCAAATATTGTTTACCACAATGCCTCAACAATAATGTTACTAAATTAGGATAAGTTACAGGTGCTACATGCTGTACTCCCCTATTCATGATTGAAATCCTCTCAACAATTTTCCATTTTTCAACATCATCATGGGATGTTGTTATCGCATCTCCTTGTACAAGAACCCTTTTAATTCTTTTATCTTGGTCACAAGATAACCACAATGCCATCTCTCGAATCATATCATGCATCTTAAACGAACGACCTAAATCAACATTATCTTCAACACTCTCCAACAAGCAGCAAAGCTTCAACTTTGCAATCACAGATTGACCATCATTAACGAATGTCTTGTATGCTTTTTGTCATATCTCTACAGATAAACCCCTCCCCTATCCATTTATCAATGATATCAGTGACCCGAATCTCATAGTCTTCTGGATATAATGCACAATACAAGAAACAATTTCTATGAGTATCATCCGGCAACTGATCATAGCTCAACTTAAGGATGGAAAAAATTTTTGTCTCGAAATCTGTATTGGTCCATGGAGAACTTGTCAACTTATTTTTTGAGCACTCCCATACGTTAACATCTTCCACACCAGCCATGGCAATTCCTACCACAATTAACGCAAGAGGCAGCCCTTTACACTCTGCTGCCATTTCTTTTGCTAGGTCTCTGATCCTAGGGTCGTAGTTTAAAGTTTCTTCTGTAACTTTGATATGAAATAACTCTAATGCTTCTTTTTCATTCAAAAAGTCCACTTTGAGTGGTTCTGGAGCTTGCATTTTTGCGCACACATCCTTCAATCGTGTTGTGAGTAACACTTTGGACTCAGAGTTTGAATCTGTTGGATGAGGTACCCCCACCAAATTCAAGTCCAATCTCTCCCACACATCATCCAGCAATAAAACAAATTTTTTCCGCTCCAACGCTTGCAAAATCTTTGAAGATTTTTCTTCTCGACTATTGCAAGAACTCCAAGCAACATCTCCAATTCCTATTGATTTTCTTATAGTATCCATGATTGCATCCAAGTTACGCTCTTTGGATACTACCACCCAAATCACAAGAAAATCAGGCTTTCTCTTCCCAAGTTCATTACTAATTTTCTTCAATAAAGTGGTCTTTCCCACCCCTCCAGTCCCATATAAACCTATGACACCAACATTATTTGCTTCAATTCTACTCCATACTTTATCAAATATCAAATCTTGCCCCACAGTCTCCTCAAGAGGTATTTGACCAATTCCTTTACGCGATGGCTTGCGCGTAATTGGATAACCCTTAACAAATCCTTGTCCCTCGGCTGTTAGATCATCTACTTTAGTGAGCATCTTGGCAACATTCTTTCCCAACTTGTAGCTTGACTTGCAATTCTTGGGACAACACTTACTTAGGCAGTTGTTTTGGATTTCTTGGACTCCTTGATATAGATTATCTTCTACTTCCTGTGAATACAAAATCATTAAGTTTAATGTTTCTTTTCTCCTGTTTTCTGAATCTTTACATAAACTAATTAAGCACACTTTCATATTAAGTTTTGATATCGAGATAAAAAATTATGTATCTCGATATAAATGAATGGAATTTTTTTGGCCAAATATGAATGACAATTTTTTGACAGAACAAGCTGAATGATATTGTTAAAGATTTTGGCTGGGCTTGTTTGGTTTCCATTTGACAAAACAGCTTTTTTTTATAATAATTTTAAAAACAAAAAAAAGCATGTTTGAAAACAGTTTTTGAAAAACAAAAAATATAAAATATGTTTTGTAAAACAAAAATGATCAAAACATCAGTACAATATTTTATTATTTTTCTGTTCAACAAAATTATAGTAAAGGTAGAGAATATTGTATTTTTATTAGGGTCAAAGTGTATTCAACATCCTAAAATATTTTACAAGGTACACTTAGTACCCGAAAACATTTTAGAGTGCAAAAAAGTGGAGCAATGTGTCCCCTTTCAATTAACAGTCTACTAACATTGGGTTTCCCCCTCCCCTCTCTGCTTCCTCCCTCCATAGCTAAGGAAAAGTTTAGATCACTTTTGATTTACTACTAACACATTTAAATTAAATATAATATTATAACTAACTTCTTTAAAAAAATAAAGTTATTATTGAAAAAATTTGCATATTAAAAATTTTAAATCTGAATCATCTACATGATATTTTGTATGGTCCAGATTACATTACAATAATGAGCACATGGTGCTCATTGCTGTTATGAGTAGTGAATGAAGAACCGTATAAAACCATTATGCTCACAAATACATGTTCTCGATTTGAAGTATTATCTTAGCTATGTATTTAATAGTATACAAAAGATAATCAAGTGTACATAGTGTTCTAATTATATTTATTTCTACGTACTTTTCTTTTTAACTGAATAATTGGACAGCTTGCGATATAGATACGGATAAATCAATTTTTATGTACACAATACGTATGCTTTCAAATTAAGTTTTAATTATGCTAATATAAGGTAATGTTGTTTACTTAATTATGTCCTTAAGAAAGATACATCTTTACTTTACATTATATACCCATTAAAATAATTATTTAAAAAAAAATCCGCATCATCCAAATCAGATCTGGATGGTTCAGATATGATGAGCATATAATAAGTTTGGGGTGCTCACCACTCTGATGAGTACTGAAACTAGTTTTGTTTTTATACTGTGATAAAATTTCAAATAAATTCAATATAATATGAGTTTCACACTTATCCAAAAAATTTTAAATGTTCTTAACTAGCTTGGTTTGAACTAAGACATTTAAATTAAATTATCATAAATTATTGAGCTAAGGGATTACTTAATTAACAACATCATTGATGCTGAACATGGAATTATCTAATTCATGAACAGAAACGATCAAAGTAAATAAAAACACCACATACTAAATAAAGAAAAAAATGTAAAATGAAGAGTTCGTACCTTTTGAATGTTTTGGATACTTTGGAGCCAACCACTGACTTCATATGTCCTTTGCCCCTCTCTGATACCCTCAACTTCTTCAATTTGTGCTTCCACATCCTTCTTCACAGCTTCAAGCTTTTTCCATTTACTTTCTAGAGATTGCAGATTCCCTTCCAACTTACAAATAAGCCCAGCTTCTTGTTTGGCGCAACCACACAAATACTTTGTAATATCCCACATGATATCTCCCAATTTCTCCATATCTGCTTCTCACTTTGATCTTTCAGATGATGCTAAGCTTGCATTCATCCAAAATAAAACAGAAAAATGCTAAAGTCAGAATTTTTTTCAATAAATATTTTTCCCTCAAAATGAAAGAACACCACATGTATGATGATCTAGGCTTACCTCATACACCAAGTGTCACACCCCAAAAATTTAGGGGTGACCGGTACGAAATATGAGAGAACTCACATTCCTAAAGCCTTAGAACATATGAATAAACACTTGCCATAATAATTACAATACCATTCATATAGAATAGATCTCTTGTAATCAAAATATACGGCCATTAGTAGAATTCTGCAAATAACTCACAGGTACAACACAAAATAAGGAGCTCCCTCCCACAACAATACGAACATATATTCATATATTTAGAATAATAAATGAAGGCAAGGGTCTGCTTATAGATTATGTAGAGGTTCTAAAAAATAAATAAATAATTACATTAATGTAACTCAGTTTTACCTCAATTAGTGGTTGTTCTAAGCTTTGATCAGCAATGAGTTTTTTTTCTTCCCCCCTCTCTTTTTTCACCATTCGTTTGAAGGCGCAAGGTTAACTGTGCTATCTAAGGCCAAAATAAATTTTACTAGTGAATAGCATCCGTTAATAAGAATAAGATAAAACAAATACTAAAATAAGTAACTTGTATAAATACAACAAGGTTGATTTACGGCTACTTTTAAATTAAAAAAATTACCATAACATGAAATATATATAAATATAAAATATTTTCAATATACAAAAATTTCTAAGGCATTTTAACAATGTTTTTCTGAAATCAAATCACGAGTAGAGTTAAAAAACATTTTTTAATGGAGGACTTCAACCGAAGAAACAACAAGCATGGACACACAATCCACGAGGGTAAATAACCAACAAGCGCAGTTAAAGCTACGAGTACAAGCGTAGCTGAAGCTATGAAACAAGCTTCAGAACAATGTTCACGAGTACCAAGCAAGCTCAATATTAACCACGGCGCACCAATACAAGCACAGTCGAAGCTACAAATACAAGTGAGATTGAACTCATGATCACAAGCGTAGTCGAAGCCCCCAATAACAAATGTGGGAACAATGCCCATGAATAACAAGCACGGCTGAAACCACGAATAACAAGTGAGCTCGATATTACCATAGCACGCCAAGGGCTAATAGCACCGTTGTTAGCAGCCAGTGTTCTGTACTCAGTCCTCACAAAAATCATTTTCAAGAATGCGTGGAGCCAATTTATCATCAGTAAAAAAGAATCTTTTCTATCATTGAAAACATGTAAAAAGAATATTTAACAAAAGACCCCAGCATAAAAGTTCATAAAATCTCAAATTCCATCAATGAACAAAAATCATTTTTTTCGAGTAATAATAACTCAAACAAGAGCATTTCAAGTTGTAAAAAGAAATTTACAATATCAAACAAGTAAAAACGAATAATGGTACAATTGAAATGAAGTTGTTTTGATGAAACAATATTTGAAAAATATGGGTGTCCCACTATTCCCTTCATGAACTTAAACTTCAATTAAGTTCCTTTTGCCCTTCTATAGCATAAGCCTTAGCTTTCTAGCAAATGTTACTAGCCTCCCAATCCAATTCTTCTCTTGAACAAACACTTCAAGTGCCATCCACAATTCTACTCATAACCCTCGGACAATCTTAAATTTAAACCAATTCAATTCATACATTCCTTTATCAACCAAAACGCTTTATTATTATAGAGAATACTTGCCTCAGGTTCAATTTAGTAACACATTCTTCAACGTTATACCTCACAATAAATCATATCTATCCATCATACAATTCGTCAAACACCTGGTGTGCATACATTCAGTACAAAAGTAAATAAAAATCACGATAGTCCATAAATCATCAATCACACAAATCTCAACTAACCCATCAACCTCACAAAATTTTCCGCCTCAATTCCTTAACCAGACCCAACTTGCAACGGAGAGAAATTATAATTTGAAAAGAAACCAAAAGATGCAAAGGATATTTACCTACTTCAATCGGACACCCCCACCACCATCTTCCATTAAACCATATTCCCAATTCCTTGCTTAAACCACACGGATAGCATCCACCACCATGACATACAAAACAGAAAATGAAGGAGACGAGTTGATGATGCAGAAAAGAGGAAGAGGCAGCGATCAAGGGAGATGAAGGATGAGTGAAAGGAAGGCGAGCAGGACAGAGTAACGGATGGCGACTTTGTAGGTAGGTCGCCGGTAAATTTTTTTGGTGTCTTGCAACCCCCCTCGTTCCAGAAATTTCTCTCCCTTTTCTCCCTTTATTTATTTTCCCCCCACCCCACCCCATTTCTAATCATGTGCTGGCTAAACCAAAGCCGTGTAAAAATAATAATAATAATAATAATAATAACATCCCGTGCAGAAATTCACAGATCCATGACCCAGATGCAAAAATACCGTGGAATATGAGGAAAGCGATTGAACAGTACCGCAGGAACTACAAGAACAAGCAAGAAAAATGGTTTGAAAGCAGCCCAACTGGGGAAATAGTTTTAGTTAGATGGTACCCACCCCAAGCTGGATGGTGTAAAGTGAACACGGATGGAATGAGAAACAGGGCGGGAGAAGCAGGATGCGGGGGAGTAGTAAGAAGGTCTGAAGGAGAATGGCTGGGAGGATTCACATGTAAGCTAGACTCAAGTGATGCAGCGGCAGCAGAGATCTGGGGAATCATAGAAGGACTAAAACTATGCTGGAATCTGGGGTTGAAAAAGATTTTAATCGAGTCGGATGCAGAAGCCATAATCAAGCAGATAAATAGTGAAAGAGAAATAGCAGGGGATCCCGCTTTAACGAAGCACATACGAGAAGTAATTCAGCAAGATTGGATTCTGAAATTTCAACATACTTACAGAGAAAGCAATAGATATGCGGACAGCTTAGCCAAGATGAGCTTAACTCTGAGAGAGAGATGGGCACTGTAGACCACGCCGCCAAGCAGTATCCTCGAGATATTTCAAGAAGACGCTGCAGAAATGGATCCGCATTCGTGCTCATCATCGGAGTGCTCAACACTCAAAACGTCATGAGAGACCCCTATTTTTTTAAAAATTTTTTTTTACTACAAAAAAAAATATGTATTAAAATTATTTTTAGTTAAAGTTTATCTGAAATATTTTTTTACATATATTTAATATTTTAAAATATTTTATCATATCCTGAAATATTTCTTATATGTATTTTGTATTCTAAAATATTTTCTGACAATGCATTTGAAAATATATTTAAGAATCCAGTATTTTAAAATATTTTGTGGTTTATTTGGTACTTTAAAATATTTTTTTATATGTGTTCATTATTCTAAAATACTTTGTGACTAGGCTTACCTAAAAACATATTTCAGGCTCTAGATTCTAGAGTCTTTTATGATTTATCTAATATCTTGAAATATTTTTCAGTATTCTAAAATACTTTGTGATACAATATTAGGAAATAGAAAATTTTTTAAAACATTAAATGCATGTGAAGAAATATTTTAAGTACTAAATGAATCATAAAATACTTGAAGATATTGAAAATATCTAAAAAAAGATATTTTTGAGTACTAGATAAATATTAACCAAAAATAATTTTAATACATACTTCTTTGGAACTTTAATATAAGAGTTAGTTTAACTAATTCAAATGTATTTAAAAAAATAGCTAAATTAGTCATTTATAATAAATAAGTATTTGTTTTTTCTAAAATACCTTTTACTAATTATGTGTATTCACTGGAACCAACAATTGATTAAATCTTTAACATGTGCAATTATTATAAAAACTATATTAAAAAAAATGAATATATATGAGAGATAAAATGGATTAGAATTTTATATTTAAGTCTAAATTAAATATCAAACTAATTTTTTTATTAATGATTTGAGGTAGTATAAATTTTTTTGTAACAAAAAAATAAAGTCAAATAAAAGTTAAAACGCACAGAACTCAAAACGCTATGCATTTTGAGTGTTGAGCACTCCGTGCTCATGAGACTGATGAGCACAAAATGCAGATCCCTGCAGAAATAGAATTCCCGAGAGGAGCTAAGGTTTAGTGATGTCATCACTCTTCGTCCACCAAAAATAATAATAATAACAACATCATAGCAAGCTGGTCACAAAAGTGACACCAATTTCCTTCAAATTGGGCCTAAAATGGGCTCTTGTCACTCTTTTATCTTAGGGTTTGTTTGGTTGGTGGGGAGGGGAGGGGAAATGAACCCCTCCCCTCATTTGGCCAAAAATTTTGAGAGGAGGGAAGCTAAAATGTCCCCTTCCCTCCCTTTCCTTCCATCATTTTAACTCCCCTTCAAATTGGGAGTTTTGGAAGGGAATCAAATTTTTGGACCATTATGTTCTTATAGTTTTTTTAATATTCTACTTCTACCCATAAAATATATTATTATAATATTTTTTTCAAATAAAATATATATTATCCTAAGTAAAAAAATACATTATTATAATTAAAAATATATTATAAAAAATAATTTAAAAATAAAAAGTTATTTAAATAAAAAATTATAATATTATAAAATTAATTGTTTTTTATAAATATATTATTTATTAAATATATTTTAAAGCTGGAAAAAAGATAGCCTAAAGAGAATAAAATTTTATTTCTCTTAAAGCATATAAAATTTGTTAATTTGATTATTTTAAATATATTATTATATTAATTAGAATAAAAATTACTGTACCAATTTTTTAATACACATATTAACATGATAAGACTGAATTTTTTATTAAATTATATAATTTAAATTAAGATGTAAATTAATTTATATAATATATCAATAAAAAACATAAACTAATATGTAAGGGTAAAATAGTAAATTGATTATTACTATCCCTCCCCTCCCCTTCTTGAACCAAACAAGGGATCATTAAATATCCTCTCCTCCCTTTTTTTTAATCAAACCAAACAAGATGAGGATAAAACCTCCCCTCTCCTCCCTTCCCCTCCCCTCAAACCAAACAGGCCCTTAAACTACATTTTGGTGTTCTTCTTGACCAAATTAAAAATAAATTTCCTAATTAATTGCTTGGAAAATTCCTAATCAAGAAAATTGTCATATTTCTTTTGAAAAAAAGCCTCCCTTTCATATTATAATTCTTCTTGCATTTATTGGATTCAATATGGCCCCCTCTAATTTCACTTTTTTTTTGGAAAAATAATAATCATAATAATAATAATCTTTTCTAAGCCCAAAAATTAATTTGAACTTGGAACTTCCATTTTTTGGAAGTAACTATTCCTGTTAATTCACTCGAATCCTCAAATAATTACTCCCCATATTTTCTAATTATTTAAGGTATTTAAGGCCTTTAAATAATTTAAATTATCTAATTTTGGTGAGGAAAAAAACTCAAGTATAGGCTCCTCTTATTGTTGGGCTACAATAATTTTTTTAAAAAAAAATACTAACCAGCTCTTTTATACCTATACATCAGGGTTATGACACTTAAGAGATTGCAATATTTTATGAGTTTGCATGAAACAATCGATGATGTAAAGTGATAGGATTTGAAATGATGATGATTATTCCTATAATTCTTTAATTTTGAAAAGTAAATTGAAGCGTCTAATTTGTTACTTGATCTTTATTTTTCTTTGATGAGATGGACATTGATTTATTAATTCTCAGTGCTGTTTTGATTTCTTTCTTTTGCTTCTGTCTATTCTCACATGAATGAACAAGTCAGGAGTCATTACACAAAAGATTGCCATTCTCGAGTTGGAGTTGAAGCAATGAATCTTTTTGTTTTGAAATATGAAAATTATGTTTTATGTTGCTTCAAGTTTTGATTAGAGTTTGACTCTTAATTTAAAATTTTGCTGCTCAGATCAGGTCAAGAATCAGAATTTTAATTTGCACTGGGATGGATCAGGGGTATAGAAGGCATTGTTTTTTTTGTTTTTGGCCAGTGATATTGAAGGCATTGTTAATAGTTACACACATATACACACACATATAAAATGTACTTCTAAGCTTTTCATCACTAAATATTGAGATAAATAATTAAATTAAAGATAGTCCCACTCTATTATTGGTAATGGACTGATAATTATTTGATTCAGCTTAGGAGATGAGAATTATACCTAGTTGATTAATATAAAAAAATTAAAGAAGTTACTCTTGCCAATGATAGCCACACTTTGAAGCATGGTTGGATGACAAGAATCTTCCAAAGAAGACAATAAAGTAAGAGTACTTTTGTCTTTTTAGATGTAGGGTACAGTAAAATTTCAGGATTTTTTTAGGGATTTAATAATATTAATTGTCTATTCCCTATATTATAAAGCTGATAAACCAAGCAAAACCTCAGGCATGCTACATGCAAAATATTGATTAAGAGAGGGATGAAAAATGGGCAAATCACTTAAGAGTTAGGAAATTTAACATTTGAGTATAAAGTTTAAGACAGCCAAAAAATTGGAGTTTATCTTTTATTTTGATATGAAAATGAATTAAACAGATCAACTCACTGAACTTGTGGGTTGAATCATTTAAATAAGTTGGGCTCATTAATCATACTAAAAGGTAAATGAAATCGTTCGGTGATGATAAATGAAATCTGATGGAAGACACCGGAGAGGATGGATTTTGAGTCTTTTTATCATGCATGTCTAATTAAGATTTTCCTGGCACTAAATGCCGAACTTCAAAGACTTTTTATCAAAATCTTCGCACAGTTTGTTATGAAAAAAGACATTCCTTCAGCTTTCTGTTTTATCCTTCTCTTCTACAAATGTTATCAGCTCGGATCTAGCTCACCTTCTTAGATCCCGTTGGAAATCATAATCATAAGCACTTATAATCACATTTCACATAAACTGAGACAAAATTCCTTTCACATGTTTATCTCATATTCTATAAATTACAATTGAAAAGCTGCTTATAAATCATTCCAAATGAGCTCTTAATTTTTTGAATGACTTTTATATGTACATTTGTAAAGATCCCCAGTTCTTTTTCATTTTGAACTCATTTTCTTAGCATTATGCGAGGAACCTTGTGTTGTAACTTCTATTAATTGCATTTGATATTTTTAATTAAAAAAAAATAGAATGAACAAATTGAAGAAAGCTAGCCCTTTTCCACGTCTTCATGTAGCTTTTTCATTTAAAAGAAACTGTTCACACTAAATTTCCATATACGCCTCAAATTTTGTTGTTTGACGAACAAGAAGGACTCTTGCTTTAAAATGTCAATGAGCTAAGGTTCAACCTCCTCTTGGATTATTTCATTAACAGGTCCTTTTATAAAAGCAAATAGCGAGTGACATATTAGGGAGACTGGCACAATGGAATTTCATCTTTCATGTGAGGATCCACGTCCAAGTATGCATAAATTATTAGAAACAGGAAACATGGCTGAACCTCAGAAACGATAAATTAAGCTAGAATCGAAAGAAAAGAAGGGTAGAAAACAAAATTATGGTACTACGTATTATTAGAAAGACATGATACGGTTTGAAGAGCTTGAGCAACATCATCTCAACAGAAACAAGATTCTGGGAAGGAATCTTTATTTTTGCTATGAAATGTCCGAGTTTCAATCCAAAAGAATATCAATAATCAACATTTTAAGGACCAATATTACTGCCTAGAATTTAAACGATCAATCATATCATTAGCTCAGTTTTCTACTTTCAAAATGGGACAAGCCTATGGAGGTAAGAATCCCCAGAAGAATCCTACATATAATATCACAAGATGTAAATTGTAAAACTGACCCCATGCTATACTATTATACTGTTATACCACGATCAAGATGACCAAAGTCAGTATTCTAAAACCACAATACCAGGAAATGAGAACGATCGATCTCCACAATCTCAACATTGGCCTCCGTGACTGAAACCTGCACATTTAAATTCAATTAAACAAAAATGATAACAGAAACTGACAAAATAAAAATTAAAAAAAAAATCATTTGGGTTCCATGTAGCCATCCGAAGACATGCAATGCATCTAGCAGCATGATACACAAAT